TTTTGTGAGTGTAATTTAAATAATTTTGAGCTTGAACGCTTCCTTTTGTTCAAAATTGCTTCAACAGATAAGTAGAAGTTCCCCACAGCACATAGGTGCTCATGTTTGATTTGACAGATTTGTGTGTTATTTTTAACACACTGGATACCCTTCTTTGTGTCTACATCCAGGGATCTTTTGTTTCTTAAGTGAATGTGTGAACCACTGCACTACGGAGCCACAGCTAGTTCTAAAAGGAAGAACACCTATGCCAGAGTCATTTTCATTGACTTTGTCTCAGCTTTTAACACGATCATTCCACAGCAGTTGGTGGAAAAGCTGATTCTATTAGGCGTGAACCCTGCAACCTCCAACTGGGTTTTCAGCTTCCTGACAAAGCGGCAACAGACAGTCAAGGTGGGCAGCCACACATCAAAGACTATCTTACCGAGTACAGGCTCTCCTCAGGGGGGTGTCCTGAGCCCGCTGTTGTTCAGTCTGCTCACACATGACTCTAACCAAATTGTGAAGTTTGTAGATGACTCAACAGTGGTTGGCCTCATCACTGACATGAGTGATGAGTCCACTTATATAATGGACATGGAGCAGCTTGAAGTGTGGTGTAGATCTCATAATCCCACCATCAATGTGTATAAAACAAAAGAGATGGTAATTGATTTCAGGAAGTCTGGCAGAGTTCACAGACCTCACCATAGATGGTGCTGCTGTGGAGAGGGCCAGCAGTGTTAAGTTTCTGGGTGTGCACCTAGAGTTAATACCACAGCAGTTTAAATTGAAACAAAAAGAAAAAGCACAAAAGCGTCTCCACTCCCTCAGGAGACTCAGAAAAGCAGGACTCTCCACACTTCACCTCACAACTTTTTGCAGAGGCACCATTAAAAACATCCTGACACAAAGTTTTACATCTTGGTTTGGCAGCTGCAAGTCCAATGAAAAGCAACAACTCAATAGACTGCCAGGAGGATTGTTGGTGCCCCTCTCTCGTCTCTGGAAGAAATCTACAAACAGAGCTGCATACACTTAGCTATCTCCATCATCAGAGACTCCCACCACCCCTCTCATAGCCTGTTCTCCCTCCTGCTGTCTGGCAAGAGAGAGGAGCATCAGCTGCAGAACCACCAGGATGCTGGAAGGGTTCTTTGCACAAGCAGCGAGACTGACAAATGAACTGTGCCCCCTCCCCATCCATTCCGCTATTCACAAAGCTATACTGTAAGATCTACGAGCGGACTTTGATAACCCCTATCTACACATGCATGCACACACGCATACAATATACAGCTCAAATACACACACGACTTAATTTAATTACCCCCTTCTGTGAAAGGACTGCTGCTGCTATCGGAATTAGTGTGACTATTTAGACTTGAGTTTGTTTTAGAATTTAGATTTTGTTTTTTGTTTTTTATCCCCGTTTATTGTTATGATTTATTACTGCCTTTTTAAAAACATTTTATTGACTATTTCACCAGCTGATGAGTGTTTCATTTCAGCCTGGGTAACACCATACGAAATGACAAACTTCTTGAAACTCTTGGTACTTAAAAAAAAAAAAAAAATCTGCTTACCTTAACTTTGGCTGCAAGCTTCTCTCCGGCCTCCCTCTCCTTCCGGAAGTCTTCCATTTTCCTCTCTTTCTCTTTAAGAAGCCGGGCTTTCTCCTCAGCTACCAGGCTGTGATCCTCCAGGATTGCCTTTCTCTCCTTTTCCAACTTCTCCTGCTGTTCTCTCCAGTAGTCCCCCTTGTCGTCTCCATCTTCCTCATCGTCCTCTGTCTCGCCACTTTCCAGACCCTCATCATCGCTCCCTTCCCCAGCTCTCCTCCTCAGCCTTCTCTTTTTCTTTCCTGAGCGTTTCTGCAGCTGCGCCTTCAGCCTGGCAATCTCCTCCTGAAACTCCCTGAGCAGGGCATCTTTGGGATCTTCATTGATACGTGGTTTGTTCTTGATATTTTTTGCCCTGTTTGAATAGCGCAGAGTTGTTAAGGTCTCCTCCACATTGTAGGATGCTGGGCCAATGTTGGCAACCATGACAGTGCGGGCATTGCCCCCTAGGGAGTCCTGCAGCAGACGTGTCAGCTTCGAGTCTCGGTAAGGGATGTGGCTGCTCCTGCCATCCACCAGAGCTGATATGACATTACCAAGAGCAGAAAGGGATAGATTTATCTTTGTGGCTTCTTTAAGCCTCTCCCCCTGAGCTCCAGTCTTGGTTTGCCTTTCACTGCCAGCTAAATCCACCAGGTTGAGTTTGCCAACTCTTATGTGGTTCTCTCCATCCACACCCAACTCACTGCACTCCACCGTGATGACAAAAATGGCGTGAGAGCGTGAGCTGTGCTCATTCATATTAGTGGCTCCAACTGATCGATTCTGGTTTCCCACATTCATGACATGCTCGATCTCTCGCACACTCTTGGTAACAAATGATGAAAGATCTTTAACATACACACCCGTGTCGGGCCTCTCCCTGAGCTCGAGACGACGTGACTGATCTTTTGAGAGCAAGTCTCTGATCTCCTCCTGGTAGATTTCTAAGTATGACGCTCTGACAAGGTACTGTTGGTTCTGTGAACGTGAAATGTGTGTGAAGATGTGCTCAAAGGAGTTTGGGATCACTCCTCTCTTCTCCGGATCATTTCTCACCCCTTCCATAGTGTAAGTCTTCCCTGTACCCGTCTGGCCATAAGCAAAGATGGTCCCATTAAATCCCAGAAGAACAGACTCAACCAGGGGCCTGAAGGTTTCATCATACATTTCTAGCTGTTTCGAGTTCCAACCATAAACAGCATCAAATGTAAAGATTTTGGGCAGTTCGTTGCCCGAGGACTCCCTTGGGTTTCTCACAATAATTTGGCCCAGTTTGACATCAACAGACACCACACTCTCATACTTGGCGGCCCGCTCTTTCTCGTTCATAGGACGGCAACGGACCACCACCTTGACTGACTCCGAGCTCTTGCTCTTGGACATGGTGAGGAGCACCTGCCAATCCTTGCTGCTTGGCACCTTGTCTTCCTAAAGAGCAGCTTTAGTAACACTTCAGCAATAGATTGCCCAAATCTGACACTGCTGGGGTGAAAACAATCAGTGAATTACATCTCAGATCATGGTTAAAGCATCGCACAGGTTAAAGTGAAATTCTGCCACCGGATGGCACTGCTTACAAGCAGGTGTTTTGATTTAGGATAAGTACTAGTGCCTAACTTCTTTAAATTTTATGTGTTTTTAGATATCCTCGCTTCTGCACAACTTTGTGGAAGATGGTTCCACTAGCTCACTGCACTACCTTGTGTTAGAAAGGGGTATTACAAAGAACTAAATACCAGCCCTAATTCAAACAGCTGGTGTCTCTTTATGACAACATATAGATGTTTTGGACACATGCTAATGACTGTTATTTCTTCAGTCTCTGTTAACAGGTTTAGTTGATTCGGGAAGGGTTAAAAGTATTTTTAACTACCTTTAAGGACAAAAAGAGAAACCCACTTGGTTAAGGTATCGGATAGGCAGCGAGACCGCTTACCTGACACATCTGAGCAGCCGTTCCCTTGCACATAAAACTAAGCTTCCTAAGACTTTTGCAGCTATCACCGTAAAATACCACAGCAACAGGCATAATCACACATTAAGCTAAATATAGTTGTTTAAATGAATAACCGTTTTCCTATTCACATGCAAACTGAAAAAAACAATCGCACTGATACACTGCTCTGTCAGAGTACATAGCAATGACACTACTTTAAATTGGCTAACTGGATTTCAGCTAATTAGGTGAAGAAACCTCACCTTGGTTTAAAGTTGGAATGTCAGATAATTAAATGACAGCCTTTAGAAAGAAATTTGATAAATGGTCAATTTTACGATGGCAGGTTAGTAAACGTTACCAGTTGATTAGTCAAACTCACGGATCAGCTTTCTAGCGTTAGCTCATTTTAAACACGTCCTGTAACGAGACCACAACACTGGGCTAGCAACTGCAAACAAACTGGTAACCTAAGCTACAAATCTGGTAGCACTGCCCGGCTAACACTCTTAGCAAATCTAAAGATTATATTCAAGATATCGCTACGCGAAATTTCGCAAAACCTACTAACACAACTTTACACCAGCCACACAGAAACGTAATTTAACACTAACCAGTGACAAACGTTAGCTTACGCAAAACTCCCACTGCGATGAAGTGAATCGTCGATGGCTAAATTCCTGCCGAACCAGCAGCGGTTCGATTTTGTTGCGCGTCTCCTCGTGAATTTACGGAACGGGTGCTGGAAGTGGCCAAAAATGATCACGTGAAGTCTGGCGTTTAACTTTGTAAGACCCAACCCATCTCAAAAAAAAAAAAAAAAGCAAGAAAATTCTGATTTTTTTTTTTTGGAACTAAGATGTCTTATTAACCCTCATAACAAAATCCACGGGTTTTTTTTTTTGCTACATCATGTTGTGTATGACATATTTAGTGTATCGCATTTGATACATCGGGTGTTTTTGGCACTTTTTTGTAAACAATGTTATTTTAGACAAAAAAAATAATTTTGTCCATAACATTTTGAAATTATGGCAAGTATTGATCATGTTGATGAGATCTCAGGTCTCAGAAACTGATACTCATGTATCAAATATAATACAAAGGGCATTATAGGGTTAACAGCAGCTGGTATCCTGTATGTTACATTACTGCCCATTTCTAATTCCTTAGGCAGGAATTGTCATTTCATTCTTTGAAAAAATTCAAAATCTTGTGTGCTCTGAGAGATGTCCTCTTAGCTGAATATAGCTATCAATGTCCAGAGATGCACTCTAGAAAAAAAAAAATTTTTTTTGGTCCAAAAGTTTGCCATAGTGAGGTTGGATTGCAAAGCAAAGACAATTTAGTTGACTTTTTGTAAAAGAAAATATTCACTTTCAGTCTAAACACCTGGACAAACTACTTTTAGACATTTGCATCAATGCATCTCTATAGGAAGGAGTTACATCCAAATGACTGAACTTCAGTCAGACAGCTAATGTTTGAAATTGGTGTTTTATTACAGAAGCATAATAGTCTTTAGGCTTCAAGCTCAGCACTCATTTCTCAAATAAAATGCACATAGAAATTGGGGTGTGACAATTAAGACTAACACCTAGTGTTTTTTTGTGTAAGGATTTTCCTCAGCTGTGTCTTTGTGTTTAGCATGTGTGCCATGACACTGTCTGCTCCAGCCCACCTACCACAGATCACTCACAGGACTACCCGGTCTCTGCAAGTTTCACAAAAGATCAAAACTTAAATCTAGAATGGAATCTCCCATTTTTGAGCAAGTAATCAAAGAAGTGATGAGAAATCCCCACCCCCTCAAAAAATTCAATAATCATTCAAATAAAAAAATAAAAATAAAACAAAAGAAAATGCAAAAAATAAGGTGAGAGTTTAGCTATGGATGATTTTTAAGTTGCTCTTGGAGCTTGCTCCAGCAAAGCCCTCATGTCCAGTAGTGCATCCTTCATATTTTGGATCAGATGACGTGTGTTTAGTCTCTTGTGGGTGTTGGAAGTTGCCATCTCAATGATGAAGTGACTGTTATGTACACTGTAGCACAAACTGTATCCAGAGTTTTCATCAACCTGATGGACTCCCACAGAGCCGGTATTGGATGTCACCTTGTGAAGAGAAATTTAAGTGAGAACGTTGCTTTACAGACCTTTAGATAACATTGTGAGTCCCACCACAAAATATGTGAAATGAAATGTTAGAGATGCAACTAAAATGCACTACTAATTTAATTCAGTCATGTTAAAAGTGTCAGATGTTTAAGAGCTGCGATGACTTAAACATTTCTTCCAATTTAAATCTTTGTGTGAATGTGAAGAAATCTAGTCTTAAATAAAAAGGTTCATTTTTAATACAACATCAAGAATCGGGCAGAAAAATGATCGCTCTCATGGACATGAGAATACTTGCACCCTGCAGCCATCCACAGTTGTTTGTGGGTCTTTCTGCTGTATGAAGTCACTGTTGGGTTTTATGGATGTCTTCCACTCCAAACTGACTTCTATATATTATGTTCAATATCAGAGTTTAAAAGAAATGTAAACTATACAATTTTACAAAGGGTCTTCTTTAATGATGATTTCTTCCACTTTAGTATACTTCCACTGGTTGAGTATTTTTTTATGAAATTTGAAGGAACATTTAAATAAATGTCCAATTTTGTTAATAACTAAAATATCTGTAGACACATACAACTGATGATTTTTTATAATTTTTAGATTTTTTGGACATGACATAATGACCTGCAAGGACTTCTGCTGGGTAGCTATTTAATCACATGCATGTGTTAGTGAGAAATATCAGTTTTACCTATAAGCCCTTCACCAACATAAACAAAGCAACATTAATGTGTTTTTACCTGACTTGCGGCGAATTGGTAGTTAAGGATTTTTTTGTATGAGATGTCTCTGAAGATGTCAGGCATGGGGAGTTTATTCTCAACAGCTTGCAATCTGAGAGCAATGATATGGGCTACAATATCATGTCCTCCAATTACCTGTAAGAAAAGAAAAATACTACATATTTAACCAACAACTCTTTGGGATACTATTACATGTCTGTCACACTCATATCTTTAATTAAAGATTAAAGACACAGGACCAAGTTATGCATTGCAACCCCTAACCCAATTTAAAATAGGAACTTGGCCTAGTTCTCTATTATGTGTAGATGAGTGTGGTTTATACATAGAGTATACTTAAATGGTTTATAGGTCAATGTTAAGGGATGTTAAAAAAAAAAGAGAAAAAAAAAGGAGGGGGGGGGGGGTCAGGTACAAGGACAAGAATGAAAATAAGTGGTGGCTCCATCACCAACTACAGGCACTGCATGAACTTGTACACAGAAACACTTTCTGTTGCTTAGTAGTTAAATAGCCCACTATTGTTCTGACCTTGTCAGTAGCACTGAAGTACACACTTTGTAGTTTTATTAATGCAGTCACACTGTGTATTCATTTACAATTTTTTGAAGTGATGTGAATATTCAACATTATCTAACAATCAAACAAAAACGCTTCCTCGATCATGCCAGCTTTATATTCATTCTCGTTAGATGAATATTTGCAACAATCTCATTGAATTCAAATCTGAAAATCTACAAAATTACAATATGATTAAATAAGTTGATTAAATAGGTTTGAAAGGCTGAGAAGCTGCAGTCAATCCTTACATCAACAAGGGCAATGCAAAGCATTGACAGGGGTGTGTAAAACACACTGCCTCTGGACTCTAGAGTACAAAGTGATTAATCACCCTTTTGAGTTCGCCAAGCCAGTGGTTGCCAGTGGTTCATGGTTGCCAGAAGAACGGCACTTGTGTGACTGCACTGTCCAAGTGTACAATTTGGTGGCGAGGGGTTGTTTTTCAGGAGTTGGACTTCCAGATAATAAATGTGCTTCTAAAAGAACGGTCAGAAATTCCCATAAACACACTCTTAAACCTTGTGGAAAGCTTTTGCAGCAGAGTTGAAGATGTTAAAGCTGCAAAAGGCTGGCAACATTATGTTAATAGATTAAGAATGGGATGTCACTCAAATTCAATGCGTGTGAAGGCAGGTGAGTAATATAGTATAGTTGCATCTACTCCATTTTCTAAGATTGATGGTAAGACCTGTCTAGTTTTCCCACCAAAGCAGTGGTGCACATCAGTACATTGGTATACCATGCTCCCACTATTCAACTGTGTAGGTACACAGGTCTTCTTTGCTTCTCTAGAGTTCTTTTTCGTTGTCAGATATTTTCACTGTCACACCTTTGAAGACTGATGGAATAGGTTATTATTATACTTTAACAAATTTTTATTTGATAGAGCAACATGCAAGAGTGAAAATTTAAACTAATTCAGAGTATATGGAGAGAACAGTTGCTGCCAGAAGATATAAACTCCACAAAACTGAAGAACTAAATGTTGTAAATGTTACTCACCGCCTTAATATTCTCTTTGTGTGTTTTTATGGCTTTTTCCAACAGATCAATCTTCTCCGTGTTCTGTGTAAAACAGAAAGATGAAATCTGGTGAACTGCTGTACTCTGACCCAAACACAAACTGTGTCAAATACCGAGCTGAGAATGACAACATTGTTTTAACTGTACATCTGTAAGTATGAAATAAAGGTTTATATTATGGAGAAAAAAAACCAACCAAAAAGCACGAGTATCAACAGTACTCCACTTTAGTGCTGTACACACTCAAAGGTACAAACAACAACTGTCCCTGTGCAGATATTTATGAACCTGATTGTAAGAGTTGGATTTAATGTTACCCATCTTGCCAGACCTGCTTTTGAGGGTCATCAAAGGCCTTGACAAAGGCAGCTGAGACACTTGTCGTTGAAAGCAGTAGGGACACACGTCCACGCCTGAACATTCGCTGGCTGACAGCTTCATATGATGCACAGACCTGCTTATTCATCCTGTCAAGAGAAGGGAGAGAAAGATTTTCCATAAACTGCGTTGCAACAAAGTTCTAAAACTTACTGACTCATGAGAGAAATACTGGCTCTGCGATGTAGTAATTCCTCCTTCCTTTGGGCTAATGTAAGCATACTGGCTGAGATCACAGCAGTTTTTCCTCACTATAAATGCCAGAATTTTAAATACCATATGAAATACATTGTGGGGCATCCCAATCTCTCCAAAGTGCTTATAAACTATGAACAAGCTAGACATCTCATGTCAGGGAGTGTTATTTCACATATCTCCATGTGTGAAACATTCTAGTAAAGCTGCTTGTCTGTCTGTCAGATCTGACAACATTCTGCATACACATCTCATTCTCCATGAGGTTTCAGGATTTCACCTGTAGTAGGCCAGCTGTATGGCCATTTGGATGAAAGCATCAGGGCTCATGTTGTGGGCCTTCAGATAATTTTTCCCAAAGTGGTCAAAAACCAGAACACTCAGATCAAAGTTTTGGATGTTTCTGTAGTTGGAGGAATGGAACAAACATTATACAGATGCAATAACAGACTGTGTCAAACACAAGTAACCATTGAATACACACAAATGCCATTTTGGTGCACGAGGCGAGATTATGGTTAGGCACTTTGTTGATACTTGACTTGTGGTAACAAACTGTAATAAAGGTCAGGGATATATTACACACTATTAATTCTAATTACAGAAAACCTGAACATATTCACATCTATTAATTGGGTGCTTTACATACATTGAGATTTTTATGCAGCAAGACCAAAAGCCACTTTTTTGTAGCTCACTTGAGTTTTATGAAGAACAGGTTTACACCAACACAATAAAAATACCACAATGTATTCAATTTTGAACACATTTGTTGCTTTGTGTTGTGAAATTTATTTTAAAACTCACACAAGATGTGTTGTGTGTAACATCCCATTTTGTTTTTCAACATCATTTCTAAGTGCAATATAACCTTTAACCATATTCTTTTCATACATATAACCAAATGTTTTATTTGTTCTAATAGCCATGCCTTAGCCCTAGCTTTGTTAGTGGATGACAGTCTTTTCGTGCCAGATGTGCAGATGTTTGTTCAACATGAGCCATATTGAACAATTTAAAAGTGATATGTACTCACCTGTCCATGCTCCTTTTAGCCTGCTCAATGATCTCTTTGATATCAGGGGTGACATGGAAGTGTAGTTTCTGGGGCATAGGTAAAGGCAGAATGGAAGCTTGCCTCATCTCTGGCTTCTTCCTGTTTCAAAAATGAGGGCAAATACATTTGGTGGAACAATATCACATGAAGTAACAAACCAAAGGCACCATACAGTATGCCAAACAAACAGAGCATGTGCCCTCCTTTAATCCTTAAGTCATGAAGGAGGTGATGTTTGCACAGCCAAGTGATCATAGCCCAGGCGTGAACAATTAAATTCATTCATACCTTCCACACATAAATACATACATATACCCAAATTGTGTGATTCACGAAAACCATACATCTGCGTTAATGCCATGTAATGATTTTAAAATTTAACATCGGAATTTTCAGTAATGTCATAACAAAAGAAAAAGCCTAAATCTACATAACCGAAAAACAATTTGGTTCCACTTACATGGATGCGACAAGATAGTCAGTTAAGGCCATACTAACTGTACCATCAGCAACAATATGAATCAGATTTAAACCCCATGACCCATCTTCTGCAACAATTATCTGAAAGACAGAAACAGTATTAGGATTTAATTGCAATTGTGTTGTCTCCATGTTTGCAATTTTTATGATCCTACCTGTCACTAAATGGTTGTGGATTAGAAACTAACATACCCCACGAATATGCTGCTTTACACACATTTGTGCAGTGAAACAAATCTTTTTTTGGGAGGGAATAGCACATACTCAGAGACCTGGCAGATAATTCTGGTGTTGGCCAGAGGGGCCGATGGTGCGATATGGCAGCCTCGCTTCTGTCAGTCTGCCCCAGGGCAGCTGTGGCTACAACTGTAGCTGCCTCCACCAGTGTGTGAATGTGAGAGTGAATGAATAGTGGCATTGGTAAAGCGCTTTGGGTGCCTTGAAAAGCGCTATATAAATCCAATCCATTATTATTATTATAATTCAGGAATTTGAAGGAAAAAAAAAAAAGAAAAAACTACTTTCTTACTTAGAAACCAGGAATGTCTGCTGGACATACCTCGGGTATAGAGGAATACAACAGAGGAGAAAAAACAAACAAACATTTTAGTCAACTAAAACAGATTAAAGAGGTACACCATGATATCTACATGAGTCAAGTCGCTGTACTGTAACATTTTTGAACTTTTTAATTACAAAAATGTAATTTAAACTTACATTGCAAGACACGGGTCTTCTGGGGTTTTTTTTTTTTTTTAAAGGCAGAAAGATAGCAAAATAAGTGAATAGAGTAAAAGGCCACGAAATAAAATGAACACTGAATTTTTCTCTTTAGCTACATTGTATAAAGGGTTTTCCTTAACCACATCATTACTCGAGAAGGTCAAGTATACAATCAAGAGATCCCTTCATGTATGTAAATACAGAAGGTTATTCTTAAGTTTTTCAGTTTAACCAGTGATTTGCACCTTATTGTATAAACTAGAATAACTGGAAGAAAACAGCATGGAGAAGGAAAGGAACAGCTCATCATCGTCTGAAACATTTCACATCAGTCCTCAAACATAGTGGAGCCAATGCTGTTGCACAGTTATGTATGCATGGGTCACTAGTGTTTATTGACTGATAGAAGTAGCAGGAAGACAAAAAAAGCAATTACAAGCATAGATTTCAACTCATTTCTACACAATTTTAATAAGAAATTGTATAAGAAAATACCCACCCACCTACAAAGACAACATTTTGGATGGCTTCATTAAGTATACTAAAGTAAATTCATTCATTTTCTTCTAAATATCCAATTCAGGGTTGCAGGGGGGGCTGAAGCCTATCCCATCAGCCACAGAGTGAGAACAATTCACACTCATACCTAAGGCAGACGGCTACGTGCACACGTACACGCATCGTTTTCGTTCCGTTTTGGCCTCCCGTCCACGGCGCTTTACCCAAAGAAAAACGCAGCGTTTTGAAAACCCTCTCGAAAACGCATACATTTCAAAACGGAGCTGTCCCGCGTGGACACTCAAAAAACGCAGACTTTCTAAAATGATGACGCATTTTAGTCATGTGATGCAGGCATGTGACCAATTTTTAAAAAAAGATAGCGGAGGGCATTATACAGCAGTTGTTTTGTTTGCTCTCAATTTTGACAGCCCTATTAAAGATTTGTATCAGTTTGTACATGCTGCAGATAGCTTTTCTTCAAATTATTTAATTCTCACTCGCTTTGGCAACTTTGTACTGTTGTGTTACTGGCAGCAACAACTCCGCCTCATTGTTAGTCTATTTAAAAAGCTTGGTGCTTTCCCTCGACCTTTTGCCGCGATGTTTCAACGAGCTGATAATGGATTGGAAAACCAGTAACTGCTTACTGTGAGGCAACAGTGAACCACTGAACCTCCATGTTGCCCATTAAATAAGTTAATGAATATCAGGTGACTGAGGGGAGCCAGTTGGGAATTTCGCCCCCCCCACACACACACAAAAAATACCACATAACCATCCATTTCTTCAGGCAGGTTGTTTCTCACCTGCAGTGACTTGTCAAACCAGCGGTTGGCACTATTCCACTGGCTGCCTCCTCCATGTGTTATTAGGTGGAAATCACATGTGACGTACTTGTCAGACTCTCGAGGTATGGCTCTATCCAAACACAATGTGAAGATGCTCCTTTCAATGGCTGACAGTGATTCTTTGTTTGTTTGATCTACAAAAAACAAAACCAACCAAACCCAATGATTTTTAACAGTTTAACAGATCTTGCTATGACAGAGTGTCTCCATCACAGACCGCATGAAGCAGTCACAGGTACACATGCAAATACACAAAGGCAAGTAACACTATACAATTTCACCCCTCACTTATGTGCAAAAAAAAAAAAAAGTTAACATTGCCCCAGAAAGTTAATTCTGTTCACCTGAAGGTACAGTTTTCAGCAGGAGAAACATTTCGTCATCCAAGTGACTTCTCATCTGACTGCAGGTTTCCCTAACCTTACCTGGATAATTAGGCATGCATCAAGTCAGTTAACATCGCCATCATTCCTTTTCTCGTCTCTTTTTTACTAGCGTGACCAGGGGTGTAGGAATTGGTTGATCTATTTATCCATACATTCATAAAACACACTCACCAACTAGAGAAGTGCTCAGCATGCTCTTCCCCACCCAACCTCAACGTTTGTAATGCAAAAATAGGGGCACCTTCTTATTAAATAGTATGTTCATATGCACGTCCAAGGTCACACATATTTTAAAATGCACCAAAGTTTCCTCTTTGGTGCATTTTTCATCCTAAATGAGACATTTTGGTTTAACAATAAAATACCTTTGAATAAACAAAATTACTGGTCGAAAGATTTTGTTGAAGTAATTGTTACAATTTGTGAAATATTCATTAATTAAACAGTAAACATGGCATCTGGTGAGAATTTGTTATATATTCTTTTAATGAAAATGCTGAGTGGAAATGATGAGCATTTTAAAAGATTGTACCTCTTGTATTTTTTTCCTCCTCCCATGCTAATCCAATAATGGCTGATACTGATGGTGTAGGAGGTCCTCTACCAGCATAACTAAAGCATGGTTCAGGGTCAAGTTTTATAAAAATTGAATCTCTGACATCTAATCTTAAAACTGGAGTGGATCTTTCTCCTGAATAGGAGCTGGTTCTACAGCAAATAAGCCTGTAGTTGAAAACATGGTAGTATGATATTTAAGCTGTGATGGGGCTGATCATTCTGGACTTTGTGGAAAATGATTCTAAGCAAGTTCTTAATTTATAGAGAAGAATATCACACTGCTCAGCCTTCCTGGAAAAGTGTACTCCAGAGTGTTGGAAAGAGGCTAAGACTGATTCACTGAACTAGAGACACAGGAGGAGCAATTTAGATTTGAGTTGAGTTCAAATATCTAAAGATTCTGTTCTCAAGTGTTGTCAAGATGGAGTGAAACAGATCACTAGATTAGTAGCGAATTATGACAAAGAGTTGACAGTGAAAGCAAAGAATTCAGTCTACACTTGATTTTCTAGCCCTCACCCAGTGTCATGAACTCTGTTTACCAAAACAAAGATATTTTGGGCACAAGTGGGAGAAAAAGGTTTCCTTTCAATTGCTGGGCTAGGTTTGCCAGAGGTTACTTCCTGTTAAATAGTAGGTCTTCCTTCCCATTGTCAGCAAGCACTTGCTAAGGGAGGATTCTCTGATGTTTTCTCCACTATCATAGGGTACTTACAATGAAAAAGTGCCTTTTTTTAAACTTTGTTTATTGAGTGTTATTTCAGTGTTGTCCTTTTAGGATAGGACCCTGGGGTGTGCAGTATTGATGGTTGCCCAAGTCTAGAAGTTTGACTTGTAATCTTTTTTTCCCTCTTTTCTATTTTTTTTTTTTTAAATTTACTAAGGAAAATCCTCTTGCTTCATTTTACAAATTCAGTTGTTGCTAACAAGCTAGCTTTGGCTCTTCCATTCACATGTTTTATTTACCGGCTAGCCAGGCTGATAGTCTTTTGTAACTCTGTAATTGTAACCTGTAAATTGTGTTGTTGTAATAATTAGCTGAGATCCACTGCAAACTAGCTGGGTCACCCATTAGAACCTGCAGCACCATGATGTGCACTTAGCCAAGCTCACCAAGGTTGCAGAGAATAACGATGATGTGCTAGGATGAAATAGATGCCAAAAATGTTTTTCTGTGTTATTTTCTGGTTCATCACATCATAGAGAATGCAGATTACCCTTCTTTGCCAAGATCCGTTACTGTTGACCACTTTATGTCACACACTTTTTTCATTAGTTTAATCTGAGTTAAAGCTAAGCTTGGCCTTACCTTTCATACTGAGATATGCTTTGCTCCAAGAGTCACGATCCAGGGTGGTGAGGATACCGACAGGCTCCGTGTTAGTCTCTGATGTGGAGGTGCAAATGCTCTCCATCTGAACACAAAGCTGATCAACTGTCAGCGGAGTCCCATCATTGTGGTAGACCTCCACCACAAAGAACTGATTCAAAGGGAGGACACAGATTTATAGCATTACTGAGCACATGCTTCCCATCCAACTCAGCACTACATGCCTTACATTTGGGTAGTGGGACTAGGTGAACAGCCCACTCCTTTGGCCAACAGCAAAGAGTTTTTCAGCTACTCTTTCAAACATTTCAGGTAGTGTTCAAGTGTCTGCAGAGAGGAGAATTGAGTTGGGTTCCACTTGGTTTGCTTGGATTGTCATCTCTGGCAAACTCTCTCTTCCTATCTGGGGTTCAACTTTTGACCAGGGGGACTGTATTCAATAAGGGTCGCCAGGCTAGGCCCCAGATGCTAACCAATCTGATTTGGTTATGAGTGAGAGGGAAAGATAACTGAAACCATACTGGCTGGATTAGTAAGGCCCACATCAGGTGCTAGGGAACTGTTGGAATACTACTATGGAAGTAACCTCAGCGAAAGAGGGTACATGAGATGGACATCAACAGTTGATGCCACCGACATCAACTGTGTGCAAGGAGAAGAACCATTGTAGAAGAATAGGCCCCTGCACGGTATGCACCACTGGCAGATAGAGGAAGTGGCTGACATCAAGAAATCCTACCAGTGGCTGGGAAAAAACTGGACTGAAGGATGGCACAGAGGCACCTCTAATGGCAGTACAGGAACAAGCTCTAAGCACAAGATCCATAGAGGCTGGGTCTACCACACCAGGTAAAAACCCCAGGTGCAGGCTGTGCAAAGATGCCCCTGAGACAATCCAGCACATAACAGCAGGGTGTATTATTGAGATTGACCAAGCTAAGATCCTGTAGGACTTGCAGATACAGACAGACAAACTGGTGATGGCTTATCAACCGGACATGGTAGTGGAGGACAAGAAGAGGAAGGAAAATAACCTTTGAGCAAGGGAGAATAAAGACCATGCAAAGATAGGGTATGCGTGAGAAATGGAATCCATTTGACTATTTTTTGTAGGTCACGAGTAGTGTTTATAGAGCAAATATTAAGCTAACATTATATAGTACAGTGTGTTTTCGCAAGTCAATAGCCAGGGGTAACAAACCTGTGAAGATGTTACTCGCTACACTACAATATTCAAGCAAATAATTAAATGTCTTTTTAAAAAGGTGTGCTCATTTCACCCATTTCCTTATACACAGTAAACTATTCACTCATCCGTGTGAATTTGAGTGATATCCCATTCTTAACCCATAGACTTTAATATGTTGGCCCACTCTCATTAGGGATAAGAATAGAGAATCCCAGTAGTTCAGTTTGTTGGAATTGTTAGCTCGCTTGCCATAGAGTCCAATCAGCCGATTTCATTTTGTCTCAGAGGAGGAGGAAAATAGTGGCAGTCTACAGCGTGGATATAAACATTACTTTTATTTCTATTCCACAAAAGCACAATGGCAAAGTGTATACTGCATCCAGGACAGAAACAACCGCATTATGCTTTTAACACAGCTTTGGCTCTTTGCAAGCATCTCCACAAAGACTCTGGTAATATGTTGTGCAAAAAAAAAAAAAAAATCTTACCTGAGAGTTATATGCCACTGTGATGTGTTTGGGTGGATTGCCGATCTTGGCATGGAACACCACCGAGTCCCTCTCCAGACCTGGGATGCGGCAGGTTGACAGCAACTGGGAATATTGCTCCATACAAAGAGGTTTCCCTCCCAGATTCTCAGCTGGTAATGTTTCACTGTGAAAGACACAGCCTCCATCAGTAAACCGAGGTGGGCTGAAAAATAGAGGCAATACACAAGTACCAAAAACTACTAAACTGATCTCTTAACCACTTTTCTTGTTTTGGTGTCTTTTGGAACATTTTGATGGAATTAGAACTTACGTTATTACAGGCATTTTTACAAAACAGACTCAGTTTCAGAGGCTCCCTAATTAATTTTACCGACTAATAGTTTCATGCTCAGGTGAGATCAGTTTCCTCATTATTTATTCTCAAAAGGTCCTGTGAGCATATGACGTGTTAACTGCACTATGGCATCTTAGATCTCTGGAGATTAATTAATTAATTAAACATTAATTTGATTCTGGTACTCACTTTTCAATGGTTGTCTTAAATTCCAAAAGAGCTATTATTAGTTTGGCTGCACACCTAAGCAGCAAACCCCCCCAAAAAACAAAACATGTTAGTCGTTTTAAAAAGCTATAAACACATATACAAGGTATCATTTTTGTGTTAGAGTGTGTGTTGGTTTACCTAATTTGTCCCTGTTTATCCCTGAAGTCCAGTCGAGGACACGCAATCGGGACATTTGCGTTAATCACCACAGGGCTCCGGTTCCCAAAGTATTCCAACTTCCCCCACAGGTCTGTCGTCTACACACAGTAGCAGGCTGTTAATTAATCCTGCAGAAAGCAGCTGATAAAAATTAGTGTCATCACTTGAGTTTCTAAGATGTTGCAAAATTTCATTTAAGTGTTCCTACTCTATCTGCAGTTCTTGACAAATTTACACCATTTTCTGTAATTGGAGTATTTTCATCAATTACTATAACTACAGCTGTACATTCTGCCATTGCCTTTAATGATAAGGCTCAGGGCAAATAGACAAATTATACATCAAATCACATTTTTTTAATTAATGGAGTGCAGTACCACAGCTCACTTAAGACAGTCAAAGAATTATATTTTATAAAAACACTTATAAACCAAAAATATTATGATTAATGTATATTACTTCTAGACTAAATATTACTTTTGCTGCTGCTTGTGAATAGCATTCACTCAATTTCACTTTGTTAGTGATAAACTAGTTTCCAAATCAGGCTGTGGGACAGTGTCAGACTTGAACACACAGAGTAAACTTTAACCCGATGCATATAAACATTTAAGTTTCAAAACTCTGATGGGCAGCTGTCAGATTAGAAACTGATGGCAGCACTTGAAGCACAGTGAGCAGTAAGACAGATTTATATAACTTTCACTTAATGAATTATTTCCCCACTTGCAATGATCAAAATACAAGTTCTCTTTTGGATTTACGTCATCACATTTGCAGCAACAGTGTTTCATTTTACTGTTTAATGCAACATTGTTAATCAATAAGACCAATAAAGATTCATTTCAACTTTTCAATCACAGTGGTTTTCAGTTACCAAATGTTCTGAAACAGAGCTGCTTTGTTTGACACAATACATTTAATTATCAGTACTCTTCATTGCTGCCTGCAGTTTTTAGGTTTTGTGAAGCCATATAAAGAAAGACTGGGTATGTTGAAATTTCTTCATAGTATAGTCCTCTGGAATAGCATTTCTATAGTACTTTTCTATTTTTACTAATGAATAAGGCCTGATGTTTTTTGTTCTAACTGATCCTACCTGAGACCTTTTTAATTCCATCTTCTTCCTTCCCTATAACATGATCATTCATTTTCAGTCAGTTCCCTATGTCTGGTCACTGCAACTTGAACCTCTTTAGTGGCAGTAAATGAGCTCACCCAGTTGTCAGTGTTGCATGCTTTCCTCTCCAGGCTTCTCTGCAGTTCCTCTCCAACCCCTCCTCTTTTCATAAAGGCCTCAACCAGCTGTTTCGCTCGCTTCCACTCATCCTCTTCTATTATGGGCTCCAGGGCACTGAGGTAGCCCTCACATGTTTTCCGCAGAGGGGGGACAGGTACCCTGGGAAGTCCCTTCTGCTGGTTCAAGTATCTGTCACTAATAAGAATCACTCGTACAGGCTTCACTAACTGATAAGATCTGACCTGGTCTGGAGGATTCAACTTCCCCAACTTCACCTGGGAGACAGAAAGACAAAAATACACGAATATAGAATAAAAGAAGATCAGATAATAAATCCTGAGACTTTTACTAGCATTCATTTGGTTAAAACATGAAAAATTGCTTCTGTTAATTATTACGTTAACAAAAACATAAAACCTCACACATATTTATGAATACAAGGTAATGGGCTTTTGTTATGACTTCAGTAAGATAAATCCTAAACAACTACACTGAATTGCTTACCATAATTCTGCTGAAGATTCTCAACATTGTATTTTCAGGAAACTCGCACAGAATGAGGCTGGAGTGTATTCACCTGTTTAACCGGCAGTTACAGTGCTGAAAAAAAATGCCAATAGACAAATAACTATCCTGAATCATTTATTGTTTGGCTTACACAGACACATCCCCATTAAGGTGATAACTGCTGAGGTAAAAACAAGCAGAAAACACTCCAGGGCTGCCAGTTTGTTACTCCACAAAAATAATAGCTTTCAAGCACACCTGCTCTACATCAGACACTGGCTGTGTCCCAATTCAGGGTCTGCACGCTTGAAGTACGCATTTCAAGTGCGGTTACGTCACCGCCACGCCACGCCGGCTGTCCCAATTCGAAGCGTACTTCAAATGCGTCGATTTCCCCAAATATCAAGCGTGGTCTGGTGCACGCTTCGTGGTCCCATATATCCCACAATTCATAGCGCGGCGGTGGGTGTGGATAATTTTGCCGCAAAATGCGGCAGACGGGAGCGGCCGAAGAGGGGTTTTTTTTCTTCCAAACTTTATTGAACTTATAAAGCGAACAGTCAGTCATTCCAGTTCAGTTTGTACAGTAGACATACAAGGCAAATAAGAGTAACAATATACAGTACAATGAAAAAAAGGATAAATAAAGGATAAAAAAAAAAAAAAAAAGGGGGGGGGGATGTGACAGACTTCATAACAACTTTGTACTTGAAAGTTGTGACAGCTCATTCGTTAAACATTTCTGAATGAATTTCAATCAATGATAAACCTTTTTTTTTTTTTTTTTTTTTAAAATTGGAAGTTAATTTAAGAGTTAAAGTAATATTCAATTTCAATCAAAAACAAATTAAATGATGGGGTTGAGTTTTGAAATTTACATTTATGTATATGGAATTTCCCTAATAAGATGGAGCGGCCGAAGAGTGAACTGTCAAAAGTACTGAATATGACGTCACTTATTTATGTGCGACTGTTTAATAATCACACACACACACACACACACACACACACACGGAACTTACGCAAAGCAAAGGGGGGGGGGGGAAGACTCCTACAAGAACATTTCAAATCATTAGCAAAGCACTTTTATTAAGTTAGTCATGAATCGATAAAAACAGCACATATCTGCCAAACATTTACAAGCAAGAGAATCTTTACTGCTAAACAAAGTTAAAAGAACATAACCATTCTGTAAACATGCACATTAAATATTGTGATGAGTAACCCTTTCAGTAGTAGGTCCTTGTGCAAATCAGTTTACTATTCCACTACAGGAATCCTAGGGGTCTCAAACAAGCATCATAACAATCAAATGTGTATCTTGTCCTATGAGGATGAGGCAAATAAAAACATTTTGCGGCTGCCTTCAATGAACTCTCATGGACCAACCGTGCAGATAATGCAGCTGGTGGAGAAAAAAGCTTGAGCTTTGGATGTTACCCACCTGAACACAAAAGAAATGTTTCAGTAAGAAGTTGAGCAAATAGATTGAGTGTTTACTGCTCAGACTTTATAGTAATGATGCTTCTTTTACAAATATCAGCAGTGGCTAAAGCATCATAAAATAATAAGGTAAGTCATATTAGGCACTACTTTTTACAACCCAACTGCCCAATCACTTATGTTGATTTCTAACAAGAATGTATCATTTTGTTAAAGAAGTGTAACCAAAATGGTTTGACTGACTGACATACATTTAAATTCATATTCATGAGATGTTTAGACATTCTGAAAAATAAAGTGCTGTCCATTTTTATATTTAGTTATTCATATAGTTTATGTCAACAGTATTTAGTTGATGTACCAACCTACTGGTTTTTGTGTGGTATTCTAGGACATTTGTGAGGCACTGTGCCCCTAGTCCCCTGCCTGCCAGCACAAAAATGACGTCACCGACAGGCACACATTTCACTGAGAGACTTCTCCATGGCATCCTTGAGGCAGCATGCCACTTGTTAGTGGTAATATCATAGTATTCTACTGAGTCAAGGCCACCTGGAAAACAGGGAATCCCCCCCCCCCCAAAAAAAAAAAAAAAAAAAAAAAAACCCCCACACACACACACACAAACCACCATGCATTATACAGACCTACTAGCTATGGCCATCGTGATAAACTACAGTAGTACTTTGATTCCTTAACACCATTTTCTTTACCAGTTGACCCTTCGCCTCCAACAGCATAGATCTTGTTGTCGATAACCACTAGCCCATGGTTCTTCCTGGCAACCCTCATTTCATGCAATTTTCTCCACCTGGAAGGTTGTAGCAGAAAATAAATATAGTGTAGAGGAGAAAAAAAAAATCTAATGCGTATTCTTGAGAGTTTTATGACCCTCTGAATAAGCTTTTAAGGGAATTTATTCAGCAAGATTTTCAAATGTTTGATAATGACAACCTTGGTGCCGAAAACCGATGTCCAAAGCAAAGTGTCAAAAACCCTAAAGTTCCCGGAATTGTCATTGAAATCTGGTTCAAAATTAATCTCCAGATTCCATTGTTAAAATGTGCAGCTTCAAAGCAGAAATAGACTGGTTTACACCCACGTACAAAAACTATTCTATAATCAGTTTCTCTGCTTTGACATGAAGCCTTGAAAACCACCAATGGTTACTTATGCTATGCCCCAATTAAGGGGCTGCATGCTTCGGAGGCCGCATTTGAAGGCCGTTTATGTCACAGCCAGGCAATGAAGGCTGCTCCAAATGAGTCCTTCATTTCCCTGGACTTCGTGGCCCAACCTATCCCAGAATTCATAGCACCTCCCAGCCAATTCCAGTTTCCAATAATGGCGGAAGCTAACTAGTTGTAATATTACTCTTTTCAATACTTTATTATAAAAATATTATTAATAATATAAAAATACTTTTCAAACACTGCAATGGCAGAGGAGCCTGGCTAAAGAGTTTGAAATATTACAGTTCTCTTCCATAGTGTTCATTTTGTCGTTTCCCTTGCTCACCCCAAAAAGTCACAGCTGATAGCTGCCCCATCCTGAGCCTGGTTCAACCAGAGGGTTCTATCTGGTTAACAGGAGTTTTTCCCTTGCCACCAACACCAACTCTCTCCACTATGGTAGGATCTTTACTATATAAAGCACCTTGAAGTGACTGTTGTGATTTGGTGTTATATAAAATAAAACTTTAACTTGACAGAGTTTGTACCAACCAATCATCCTGCTCCTAGTATTTTATTAGCATTACTTAGGACTAATGAGAAGGTATTGGCCATGTAGCCATACAATCTATGGATGAGCTTATTAACAATCTTGATAATGTATCAATTATATAATTTTATTATATAAATAGAATTAAACTAAAAGTTCAGAAAACTTTACTTCTGACTTCGAATTTGGTCGAGATTTTTAGAAGATGCATTATGGTATTATTTTGAAATCCCATGTTTTCACAAGTTTTGGTGTCCTTGTTGACCACCTGCCGGGGTGGCTATAAGATCCACTGTGCACTGGGAGAAACCTGGAAACCATGTATTTTTACACTGGCGTCCACTGTGGCCAGTACAACAACAGTAACTTTTGTGCTTACTTATGCAAGATTAAAGCTACGTTCACACTGCAGGCGAAAGCTGGGAACTGTGTCATAACTTTCAAAGGAGGTCCACAGCTGACCCACCTGCAAAAACAATACATAATATCAGACTAAAACTGCTGGGAAGACAACGTTGGAGAAACGTTAACATTTTATTTGTACTGTATAACCTGCAGATTCTGACAGAAATCTGCAACTATCCTTTGAAGCACCGCTCCTCTCTTAAACAGCAATAAGGATCATTATTAGGTTATTTACATTATTATGTAAATAACAAAATAACTTAAAGCAAAAATTGGGAAACATGAAGTCCGAAGTCTTTATATTAAGGGCCATCAGTCAAACAATATAGTTTGCTCTGGGTCTAAACAGAGTGCGTTGTGTGTGAAGTCTTCTTTTGCGCATGCGGCCGCTTTGAGCGTTCACACTAGAGCGCGTTTGCTGTCGCATTTTATTTGTAGTGTGAACGAGCAGACAAAAAACAAAATAAACAAAAGCGGATTTGATCAAAAAAAAATTGGAATTGAGCATTAAGACCTGCAGTGTGAACGTAGCCTAATACTTCAGCTGCCACTTTTCTTTTATCTAATTCATCAAAATTCCAGCGTAATGCAGGAACACCATGCACAATCGCCAGTGACACTGGTCAGTCATGCAATAAAGTGGTATACATTTAGCTTTAACTTTGCTAGCCTCCTGATGCCCATTGATTCATACACCTCCTTTAAAGCACAAAGTCCCAAATATTGCAAACATACACAGACAAAAAAAAAAAAAAAAAAAAAAAAAAAGCAGCATACAGAGCTGTAGTGACTCACTGTTGTGTGCTGGGGTCATAGACCTCACAGTTCCTGAGGACTCTACCAGAAACACTGTTGCCAGTCAGTCCTCCACAAACATAAATGAGCCCATTGGCCTCCACTGAGGCATGACTGCAGCGGGACACTAGCATGCTGGTGTTGACCTGCCATGACTCTGTCATTGTGTCATAACTTTCAAAGAGGTCCACAGCTGACCCACCTGCAAAAACAATACATAATATCAGAAACATATGCTTGCAGACATGGCTAGAAACTTTCCCCACTGATAACAAGTTATACTACATTCATAGCAAAACTATAGCAATTCACTGCCCACAGTCTCTTCAAGAGATACACATATCACCATGCATACCCGCTTCTGATCCTCCAGATGTGAAGATCTTGCCCTCAAAAACACAAGCAGACATGTTCTCACGAGGTGTTGGTGGCCCTGGCCTGGAGCATCTATTCCTCAGAATGTTGTAGAAGTCTGTGTGTTTGATGTGAAAGCTGTGTGAGCCACCTAAAATGGAGCCCACCCTATTCTGGCGTTTTGACAGTTTGCAGTTGATGCTCATCCAGCTGTAATCCTGAATGGAAAGCAATACCAACACTTGTGTAATGATTAGAACAGACCTGCTATTGTATGGAACTATTGAAAGAAAACAACAAAACAAACAAACACCGAAGATTAACCAAATCGTTATTCTACTAATGTGCACCACTATTTAGCCTCATTTACTGTTTGTTGCTTCGTGCTCATCTTCTCAATCTTATTTCCCCTTAACCTTCCACCAAAAATGGCTGGCCTGCCTTGAGCTGGAAGTCACTTTGAGAGTTTTTCCTCCTTATAGTAGGTTAAAGGTAGCTCATATGTAATCAGTGGGATTCCTCTACATTTACCTAAGGTGGCAATGTAAATAATCATCAAGCAACTGCTAAAAAAG